TTCAGGTATTTATCATCAACCCCGACTCACATGACATGAAAGGCTTGTCAACAATCCAAAACACACAGCATCTAGCTCTAAAGGCATCACTAAAGATGGGAGGCGGCCTCCGGCACCGACTTATCAGGTACTTACGATGCGGTTCTGACATCCCTCCCCAGGCGGTTCCACCATTCATCACTCGAGCGATGTGAGTTTTCGGTATCTGATAAAAGACACCTGGAGCGGAAGCCTCTCGGATAAAAGGTTTAACATCTTGGAGAAACAAAAAGGTTGCTTCCACCGGAGCACTTAGGAACACCATGACCTCTTAAAGACCACGGCAGGCTCGGAGCGGCGAGCAGCAGAAACATCCAGTGAGTGGCAGCTCTGCGGATGGAAGCACCTGGTTGATGCAGAAAGGTCAGAGGTGGCCCCGTCAGCCGAAAACAGAAATCCGAGGCCGTACAGGGGAAGAAACACGGTTTAGAACTCCAAAGCAAAAGACTGTTTAAATGCAGATAGCGGAGGCGAAGCTGCCGCTGTGATGAGCTCTGCTAATACCAACGTCCTTGCATACTGATGCGCTCTCGCTGTTTTGCACAGATTGTGCTAATGAGCTCTCTCTGTGACATTGTGGTGCCCTAAGTGTAGCGCAGGATTCTCCAACCGGCTTCAAATTGCAAAAAATTGAAGAGCAAAAACAAGATGCTTATTGTTGAATTACACAGCGGTGATGGGGAGGAAACCGTCGCCTTCTGTGGACTTACATGTCTTCATCTAGCTCTTTCTTGTCTTACAGTTTTATTAAACTTGTAATTAGAGAGGCTGCTGTTGTAGGAATTAGCTTCATGCATTATCCCATATTGGTCCGAAATGGCATTTATTTACATCCGCGAAGCATCTATAAATAGCCATCGAACTATTGAGTGTAATTGTGACCATGCAGAGATAGCGGCCCCCCCCGAATCCAGCTCCACGAGGTCGCTCCCGGGCAAAAGTCCACGGCATGACAGTGTTGTTTCACCTCGATGTGTTTCAATTACACAGCACAACAAATGCAGCGTTCGGAATGGGTAATGCGAACATTAAAGCCTGTACCCGAGGGTTTCAGCAGAGCAAGTTTATGTTTGAAGACTCTGTTTACTTATTCAATACACAATAATTCTGTGAATGTATTCTAGCTCGAGGCTTGAGCATACTGCTTATTTGTCCAATGAAGCAATCCGAATCCTCTCCAGCGCGCCACCAGCGAAGCTCATTTGGCAAAGGCACGGCGCGGCATTAGCCGGTAAATAAAGTGGCGTGGTGAGTGTGTGCGAGTGCGAACGAGCTCGGGAGAGTTTTTTTTTTTTCGCAGGCCATGGGTCTGTATCTTATTTAATAGACCTCTCCTCTCTCCCTCTCCTCTCAGTCCAGTCCAGCCTCGTCCTAATGAAACAATAACAGCTACAGCCTGTCACCATCTGCTCTTATTACTGCTCCGCCGCCGCCTCCCCGCGCTTCTCTCTTTTTCCGAAACACTCCATTTCACTCCACCTACAGCGCCGCTTGTTTTCTTCTTATTCATACAATGCATGCACGATCACACCGATGCAAATAATGGCCAAATACCACACTGGTGTGATGGCTGTAACCGAAGCTCGTCCGTCTCTTTTTTTTATTATTTTGCGATTCCATGCAACGTGATGATTCATTAAAATGCCCAACGCTGTACCTTCCAGCTAATTGAATATGTATGGGCTTAACTGGAAAGTTTTTTGTGTCGTGGGATTACCTCCAAACTCTGCTTCTTGATGCAATGACTTGATTAATCCCGGCGGAAAATTGCAGAATTATAGCCACCAAATATAGAAAGTGAAGCAGCAGACGCTGAGACCGTGATGTAATGGGATAGAAAATTCATGGCGGACAGAATTCGGTAAACGCAGCTCCAAGGCGCCGGTTATACCTGACGTTAGCGTGCGTGTTGGGTGATCCGGTTGCTTGGACCACATTTGAATGGCCACATTGTTTTGTGTTTTCGATTGGGTGCTTGGCTACGTTTTAAGACCACCTACTGCATGATAACATACAGTCGTGACTCGATAATCCGACCCTTAACAATCTGAAAACCTTGCTATCCGATGGATTTTTAGGAAAAACGAACGGAACCTATAAAAAATAGCCTTAACATACCGACAGCCTTGGATTCTGACATAACATGACTTAACAATCCAACAGATTTACTTACCTTTGAAGTCAACCAACCATCAAGCCCTCCTTGTATCTCGACCTCCGTCTTGACAATCCGACACCTTTGCTGTCCGACATAGAAGAAGGTGTCGGATTATCGAGTCTTGACTGTATTTATTTTGTATGCTTCACCACAACATCTGAACATTTTGAAAAGCCCATAGAAAAATAGGAGGTGTGTCAGAAAAGTTCCAGGACTGGTGTCACAAAAGATAGATTTCAAACCCAGTTTTCCCATTCGAAGTAATCCACCTGGAGTCTAACCCACTTTCCGTGGTCCTCCGTCGTCACAGCCATCTTGTTGTCGTCCACGTCTTCAAAGGCCTTGATGTATCCCTTGAGCTTGGGGAAGAGAAAGCAGTCCCACGGAGGTTGCTCCAGCACAGAGATGTTCTTCTCAGCCAGGAGCTGTCGGCGTTGTCTTGGTGAAGCAGCCACGACTCTCGCCTCTTCTCTGAACGAAGCAAACAGATCTCTTTGTAGACGAGCTGGTTGATGGTCTGAAGGGGAAAACTCCTAGCTTGAAATACGTCTCTTGTGACACCAATCCTGGAACTTTTCTGACGCACCTCGTACACCAATCGGCCCCATCTGTTAAAAGTGTTGGTCCCCCTAATGTCACCACTTTGACAGAGGATTCTTTGAGATCTCTAGAGTTTGGTTGATACCTTTGGCTCTCATCCCTCGAGCCGATCCTCAGCAGTTCCGTCGGGCGGTAGCATCAACTTCCACGCGGGCCCGAGGCTTCCCCTCGCACCGCCACGAGATGATTAACGTCTTTCATTTCATCAGTCGGTTTTAATGCCGCGATTCCGTTGCTTCTCAAACATCTCGACTGATTCGATCTGCCTGGAAACACACCAGGGAACGGACCCGGTTCGAGTTATTATATTTTAGTATTTTTCATTAGTTTGTCTTTTTTTTTCCAATTCGGTTTAATTTCAGTTAGCTTCCCCCAGTGGGTTTTCTGGTTTTAGTTTAAAAATGCTTTAGTTTTTATTGTTTTCTATATTAGTTTCAGGAAGGGGAGCGAGATTTAGGAAGCTCGGAGAAGGTTTTACGACACTTTGTGAGCGCGGTTGACTCACAGTCATGCAGATATCGCCGGCTCGTGATCGCCTGAACAAAATTGAAGACATCTCTTATCTCGTGTCGGCTTTCTGAAAGTTTAGTTTCAATAATAGATACGATTGTTTTGTGTAATCTTTAAATTTGCAGCCTGGGAAGCGCGTTGGGAGCTGCCATTTAAAAGATTTTGCATGTAGAGCAAAGATCTGATCACAAGTGCTCACTCAAGACTCGAGATGCATTTATTGGACCTGTGCATTTGTTTTCAACTAATGTTCATACCAGATGTGTGTAGGGCCCAATATGCTGTACAGTAATTGTCCTTCCTCTTTGGGATTGCATTGATCACGGCAGCTAAACGGTGAATATATGAACACACATGCATTTTTACCATTACTAGCATCAGTGTAATGACATCAGTGCCCTACATTAATATGAAGGGGTTTCCACGACGACACAATCGGCTAATGAACCCTTTCAGTCAGAATCCTTCTTGTTTTTGAAGCAATTGCTGGAGAAAAAAAAGCGAAAATTTCCCTTTCGCTGTCCATTTAGTGGAAATCATCACTCGATCTCGCGATTGTTTCAAGACGAATCCGATTTTTTGTGCCAAATGAAGCGCTACGATGGGAGGTTTTTTTTTTCAATCTCAATCATCCCATCATTGCTTCGTCCCTTTTCCCGCTGCTAACCCGGCTTACGCCGCGCCTTGAGGCCTCGGCCATAACAATAGCCATTAAACGACGTGTCATTGCCAAGCTCGCGGGCAATGTCATCCATTCTGCGGCCCGGCCCAGCGCTGCCGGTCCTATTGTGCTGATGGTTTTATATCACATTGAGTAAGTGCTTGTATGGCTGACCGACTGATATATGGCCTCATTATATTGTTTGATGGCCGTGGTTGAGCCGGGTGATTATGCCGCTGATAAACCACAGCGAACGAGGGACCCGATAGGCTGATAGGCTCATTAAGACGCGTATTGATCAGAGGCATTGACTGCTTCTCTGTGTGTTTGCATGTGCTTATCACTTGCAGACTGAGACGCGCACTATATTCCCCCCCTTTCCCCCCTCTGGCTCAGATCTCTTCACAGCTCGGTTACAGGTGCCAGCTCCTGCTCTTTATATTTAGTAGCCGAGGCTTTGTCGAGCGGCTCGCGGTGAGGCGGGTGGCCAGGCCAGCTGCTGGGATGCTGTTCAGTGTCAGCTGTTACTGGCAGGGGAGGAAGCGCGGAGGAGGCTTGTCATAACCTTGAATTGGAATTGTTTTGTATGTGCACAGCTGGTGAGCTGCTACTCTTTGTCGACTGTGATAGCAGCTGACACCAAACTGTGATTTGCTTAGCGGTGGGCACGCTCGCAGTCCACGCTGGTAACTGCCAGTTCTGACAAAGCTCCACATTCACACCCCTGAATTATTTGTGTTTCATAAATGGGTATTGCAGGGAGAGGAGGGGAGAAAAAAAAAAAAAAAATCAGGAAAGAGCGGTCGCTGTTTTTTGGCTGCTTATTTGTTTGCTACAAATAAACCTTTGTGTTCACCTTGTGCCGCTCCTCTCCGAGACTTGCTTTTTACTTATTATTTTAAATGGAGCAGTCTCGCCCTGCCGCACGCTCCCAACAGCTCTTAAGATGTGCTTTAGCATTCGGAGTGCCGAGAGCAAGAGGTTAAAAATATTTTGTCTTGAAGCAGAAGAAAGGCACGCTTCAGGTTTTTTTTTTTTTTTTTGTGTGTGCAGTTTCGCAATAGAAAGCGGGTAGCCGTGAGGAATTCTTTCTCATCTTTTTTGGCACGGGTTGCTATGAAAAGAGGTGGCGAGTGGCATGAATATTTATGTGTGTTTTCTCAGCTGGTGGAACCCTTGACCCCCAGCGGAACGGCCCCTAACCAGGCTCAGCTGCGGATCCTGAAAGAGACGGAGCTGAAGAGGGTCAAGATTTTGGGTTCGGGGGCTTTCGGAACGGTCTACAAGGTCAGTGTGCGCATCTGTATTTATATTGTGTCACATTCAAATACTCCACATCATGAAGTGAGTCAGCTAAACGTAGCCGGCGCAAAGTTTCGATAGAACAACGCCGCTCGACAACCTAAACAATAAGCATAAACATTTCCCCTTTTGTTGCAGTGTTTCCTGACAGACATGCGCCTAGGGCAGCTCAAGGACCTGGAACGGAAACGGCTGTTTGCTTGCCAAATTCACTGCCCTTGGCAAAATTATTCATACCCACCCCGAAAAAAAAAAAAAAACCTCAGCAAAGCCCTTTAAATAAATACAGACTCCAAATTTCCCCCCTTGTGTTAATTAATATTTCAGATTGTGTTCATCGCTGTGTTGTTTTGCACGTTGCAGAGGAATGCAAGCAGGCCGCCGTTATCGGGTTCATCGGGATTTAGAGGCATTTATAGTGATTGCCTGTATATTTCAGGGCATCTGGGTCCCGGAAGGTGAGACGGTGAAGATCCCCGTGGCTATTAAAATCCTCAACGAGGCCACCGGTCCCAAAGCCAACGTGGAGTTCATGGACGTGAGTTTTTTACAACAATTTGTGTCTGTTTTGTGTGTGTGTTCACCTCTTGTGTGTCTGAGCGATATAAAAAAATAAAAAAAACAGAGAGAGGGAGGGAGGGAGGCCGAGCCTGTCACTTTGTGGGATTGTGCGTTTGGCGGTAAACTCTCATGAGAGCGCCGTTTCACTCAGAGCCTGTAATAAAGTGAGCTGCACTACACTGTACAGAGAGGCATGTATTGAACAAGACTCTATTAAAAAACTGCACTTGTTTATGAGATATGGCTTTATTGGAATCCAGGAGTGATGGAGGGGAGGAGGAGGGGGGAGGGACGAGGAGTCAGCTGTGGAGTTTCTAGTCCTCTTTGTCACCTTCCTAAACTCTTCTTTCCTTCCACACACATGAGGAGGTTTTGCAAAACGATAGACTGTGGTGTCACCTTTGTGCGTGCCCATTTGAGAGACTCCTGCTCGATGCTGTGCCATATTATTACCGCTTTTATTGGACGATGCCAGCGTTGCCCAGCAACTCCGTTGTTGCGCTGTTTACTCCGGAGATCATCGCTGATTCCGGTCAGCATGGCGACCACGACGACAGTGATGACGGGAAAGAGTCAAGACAACATTCTTCTTCCTGATGTCTTGGCTGATTTAGGAAGCAGTGTGTTTGAAGTTTGCCTCCAGTTAACTTCAATGCCATCAATTAGCCAATCAAAAGCTTCCAAAGCCATGACATCATCATCCCAACTAGTCTGAAGGCATAGTAATCTTAGTGTATGTAAACTTCTATTTTAAAAAAAGTAGTAAAAAATTCTCTAAAAAATTCTCTGTCTTTTTATTCTGGTGTTTAGCAAATAGAAATAATTTTGTTAATCCTAACTGAGCTAAAACAGGAAAAGTTTAGTCTGATTTAATGTCAGATAGTGAGAAAAAAAAAGGTTTTATGTCTTTTTATAGTGTATTTTCATAACCTGGCTCGTGGGTTATAACAAATATGGCACAGATTTAACTCAACATAAGGATATTTATTATAACCAAACCATGTAATGAATAATAATAATTATGTCGTGTGACTGTCAGTAGTATAGGTGAGTGAACATGATGGGATGTTAGGTGTTGTGGAGCAGAAACAGGCAACAAAAAAAGATCAGCACCAACGAGGCCAGGTCACAAAGAGTGACAGAGAGAAGGCTGAACTTTATGGGCCGTCCTGATGCCTTCAGGGACCCACAGGTAATTGGAATCTAGGCCTCCAGCTGGCATTGAGCGTTCCTACTGTCCTCCAAGTGGACTCCAGCAGATTAGAAAAGTTGCATAATAGCAACAACTGCTCCTCTGCAGCTGTTTATGTATAATCGAGTCTCGGACGAGCGAAAAGCCTCAGTGACAAATCAAGGAAGGGAAACGAGACACTGGTGCAGCAAAGTAGGAGAAAACGAGGTGGAAGGCTTGCAGATTTTTTCGAGAACGTTTCCACAGCCCAGACATGGAGCTGTCAGCAGCGGGGCTACACACACAGTTTTCACACGCCATCTTGGTTGTTGTTTACGTCCCACCCCCAACTTTGCCGTTGCTAACCCAGCAACCCCCAAAGTGATATCATCTACAGTCACGTGACACCGGACGAGACTTTTCCCACTTCATGGACTGAACGACACGAGGCGACAGGACTCTGACATGCTTTTGGCATCCAGTTACACATAATTTCCAATTGCTACTGACTGATCTACCTTCATTTTTCAAGCAACAATATTCTCCAGCCTCTCGGTTGTGAGAATTTTCTTTCTCATATGTGAAAGAAAACATCTCAGGCCATCTAAAGACGCTGCCTTGTACTTTGTTTTTATAAATCAAATGCATAATCAGTTAGTCAAATGCACAGTAAGTGTTTTTTCCTGTCGCATTTCACTTGTTGATTAATGTTCCACCGCTATATAAAGTCGTGTACCTCTATGGAAACAGCACGACCAGGGAAAAGGAGAGGAGAGAAACATCATTATAATAAAAAAGACTGGCGTTATTTCTGTTCCATACTTGTCTGCTATTTCCTCTTCGTAAACACGGCCGACAGTTCAGACGATTTCAGCCAAAGCATCCCCTGAATTTATGTCAGAGGACTGTAGGTCACAGTGGTTGCACCGAGGAGAGCAACATCTTTTTATTAATTTTTACAGACTCCGATCAGAGCGTAGGGTTTATTTTTGGCTGCTTTTTTAAATGACACGTGTAGATTGAAGTGATTTTGATGAAATGCGGGTGAGACGTAATTGGGTTAATCATCCTGATGAAACCGAAAGTCACATGTGTTGAACTCAAAGCTCCAGAAGTTTAAAAATCAAGCAGTTCTTGCCGGTTTTTTGGAGTTTCTTTTGCCTTTTAAAAGTGCTTCTGGGTTTTAGGGTTGAAATATATTCTCTGTGGACCACCTTTATGTAAGACAAGTGATAAAACTACTGTTAGGACACCAGTTATTCCACCCGGTGTTGTTTGTATTAAGCACTTAGCAGCATGTATGTGAGATCAACCCGATTAAACCATTTTTTGTTTTGCTTGCATGCTCAGTTGCTGGATGAGGAAGGATGGAAGGTATGATTTTAGTGCATATTTAGCATTGTTTGTGGCAGAAGAGGCAAATTGAAGCTAATGAGAAATCTGGTGATGCTACCATCATTATCCACAACCAGTTGACTGCTAAACTTCCTTCACATCCCTCCTGCAGCAACATGCTTCCTCCTTTTTATTCCCTTTTCTACTCAGTTTTTCCTCTCTTCTCCACCTCCCTCCTCTTCTTCTTCTTCTTCTCCCTTCCCTCTCTTCCTCTCTGTGTGTTTCTCCCAGCGGGGGTCTCTGTCCATCCAGAGCCAATATGCTCTGTCTGCTGGCTTGTTAAACAGCAATCTAAAGGCAGGCTCACGCCTCGCCGCTGAGAAGCTAGCCACCGGAGTGCCAGCTCCAAACACACTCGGAAAGTCCACACAGATATGCACACACACACACATAACCAAACGGCACACTCTCCGCAACAAAAAAAGCCTCCCCGGGCGGCGGTGGCCTCGCATGCGAGAGATGCACGGGGATTTGCTTGTGTTGGCAAATATGTGAATTTGAGTTAGCGACTTGATTATTTGATATGTGAAACGCGAGGGCCTAATAATGCAGTAATTTAGCGAGCTCGGATGCATCTACACACACACACGCGCGCGTCGGGGAGGGAAGCGTGCGGCGCTTTCGCAGGGCCGCGGGTTGAGGGGGAAAGTGAACAAGCGATGGGAAGGGAGGGTCAGCCGGCAGTAATGGAGGTCAGCGCTCAGGGAGATGAGAGAGAAGCCGCACACACTCACAGGAACGTTTGCCCGAAGAGTACAAAGCCGGAGCGAGAGTTTAGCCCGACATGGTTTACGACTCCGGGGTCTTTGGAGATCACAGCGAGAATAAAAAGCTTCTTCTTTCTGTCACACACCTCCTCCCTCCCTCTCTTGATCCCAAGGTGTGAGGCATCCCCCGGTGTCGAGGGAGGTGGCTGCAAGATGTGCGGGGCGGAGGGAGCAGGTGGTTTTATGAAGTAAAGATGTAGTGGCACTGCTTTGGGCCAGGAGGCTCTGTTTAAATCAGGCCACTGATGGTGCCAAAAGCCTCTCTATGGCCTATGGCCCCCTCTCCTGTTTAGAATTAATCTACTCACACCCACACCGCCGCCACTCTCCCTCTAAGCTCATTCTTTAGCATCTAAATTTAAAACGGCACCTCATCTATCTATCAGCTGCCCCAGGGCCAAGCCTGGATATACACCTCCTCGACCACTTGCTGTATGCAAAGAGAGAGTGTGTGTCCTTGAGTGTGTGAGTGTTTCAGAGAGCTGCCGAGAGAGCGTCGTCCACATGTGAGAGAGAGTGTGTGAACGAGAGGGAGACCCCGAGAGAGGTAATAGGAGCTGAGGACGACTGAAGTGAGTGTTTTTAAGCGATGACACTGAGTGCAGCTTCTGCTCAGCCCTAATGCACATGCACGCCGGCCACAAGTATCAGTCCTCGCCATCATAACACTTCATCACCGCCGCACATCCTTCTGCTTGCAGCTCCGCAATAACAATTACCCAACGTTGAGTCCCAACTGTTCAAACCTCTACGTCCATCTGCTGCAGGAAGACATGAGAGATCGAGGAGGGGAGGGAGAAAATGCATCGACACGCCAAGTAACACAACAAACAAAGGCGGCTTATGAAATCAGACGTATAATAACTTCATGCGAGGCGGCACCAGATACGGCGAGCATGCACAGGCTCACATTCTGGTGTTTTAATTGTGTTGGTGCAACATTTAAGACCCTCTGTGTGTTATACATGCTAAAATATAGATGAAAAAGGCTGTGTTTGTGCAGCTTTGAAGACGGGGTTCTGCAGGATTTTCTCTCACTGCGAGAATACTCTGGACAGATGCTGCGCATGCAGATATAGTCACCATCCCACAAGTCTTAATTTATGCATCTAACTCCACCTCCAGTAGGAAGTCGCTGGAATACAGTGCGGTGCTATCCGTGGATAACAGATGCATGGTCAGACGCATTGAATTCTACTTTTTTGAAAAGAACATCTCGCTGCTCGATAAACTGAATAATTATATCGTTTCGCAAATTTACATCTCCTCTCCTTCACACTGCTGTTTACAAAAGGTTAAATCCGAGCAGAGCAGCATTTTAATGATGCGCTTTCAATCTTTTTTATTTTTTTTTTCTCCAAAGCATTTCATTCATAATGTATAACTGTCGTCGTTGATTTGCGTAAACGCTTAATTTTTCAGCAGCTTGCGAGCTAAATTCACGCCAACGTTGTATTTGCATATACAATACACAGCAGAGGAACTAATTAGAATGGAAATTTATTATAACAAAAGTGAATACACCTGTGATTATTGACACTATTTAAATACCTGTGATCAGTGGAACGAACTCGGGTGCAGCTGTGAATACCAAACAGCCAGACGCCGTGAGTGAGATAGTTGTAGAATGACCTGAGAACAACAGATCTTGGTAAGTTTTAGACCTTTAGAGTGCGTCTACCGTCTTCTCCACATGGAGAAGAGTTGCCAGATGAAAACTCTGATTGGTAGATCAGAAATCAGTGGACAGTGCGGAGTATGTAATGGGTCGTAGTAACGCTAATCAGAGCCGCAGTGGTCATCGTCTTAAAGTGACACCATGGACAATTTAACTCTGACGAACAGACAGACTAGTTCTTCAGCCTCGAAAGACGGCACCCAAGAAAGAAAGAAGAACTCCTCCCTGCTGTTTGGCACTCAACTGCAAGCTACAACTTCGCTAACAGAAGCCCGACGAACACTGGGAACACATTCTTTGGTCAGATGAGATCAGGATTAATTTGTTCAGCTTCGATCCGACCTGGCTGCCACAGTGAACGCATAATCCTGACAGCGAAGCGCGACGATACGGGGCCGCGCGAGTACAAATGCCGTTGGGAAGACGGCATCATGTAGATGGCATTGTGTGGATTTACCAAAACACTGGCTGACAAGACGACTCCCAGACTGCTGGAGCTTTGTGGAGTAGTCCAGCATGAGAAGAATCCAAAGCATGCAGCCAAACACGAGAGTTCACAAGAAAGGAGAACGACGTCTCTTGAGAATTTCGTGCAACGCTGAGTTGGTCATCGTAAAGATTTGAGTAATGAAAGGTGTTTTTGTTGTGTTTAGACCCAAATGAGGAAGCTGTATTTTCAATATAGTGTGTTGAAGCTGTTAGTTTTTAATTTGCATGAGTGCAAACACCCTCCTGTTCGACTCTGAAGTACTACAATGACTGCAAAGTGATGCCATTTTGAATCATTTGGCATTAAAGTCTCACTCCTGTTGTATACTGTAGAAGTTGTCTCTGCCCTTACTTGCTTCGTCAAACTGATATTGAAAAAGTTTGACGTCTAGTTTGTCTGAAATGTTTTGTCTGAAGCAACCACAGGACAAATCCTCAACCCTGAACTGCAACAACCTTCTTAGTCCACCTTTGTCCCACTCTCCCCCCTCTCACCCAGGAGGCCCTGATCATGGCCAGCATGGAGCACCCCCACCTGGTGCGCCTGCTGGGCGTCTGCCTGAGCCCCACCATCCAGCTGGTCACCCAGCTCATGCCCCACGGCTGCCTCCTCGACTACGTGCACGAGCACAAGGACAACATCGGATCGCAGCTGCTGCTCAACTGGTGTGTCCAGATCGCCAAGGTAAGCCACCGCGATCGGGTCGCAGCGTTACTGTGCGCTACTGGATGTGTGGGCAGGTGTGAGGGCGGTAATAGATTTTACGGATTTGTGTTCGTGTGGCATGAATGCGCCTTTTATTTCCCAGCCAGAATTTGACTGATGGTGGCAGAAGGTTGCCAAGTCCGGCGTCAAACCAAACAAGCTCCTTTTTTTTTCTCTTTTTTTTGCAAGAATATGATGGGATAGCACATTCCAGTTTCATATTTAAACAGCTTTCGAACCGCTATCGCAAACAGAGCTGTCTGACCTTTCGTTTTGATGTTTTACTTGCTCAGGTTTCTGTTGCCGTTGTCCAGGCTTTATGAGATTGTGTAAACACCGACATTATGCAAAGTCGAAGCAATCATGAAGAATCAGAACAGCAGCTGCATGTCAGGAAGCCTGCCATTTGGAGAACAAATACAGAGCTCGTGGCTCTGTCGGTGTTCAACTTTTAGTATAAATCTTTCTTTCCAGTTTGCCCCTGTTGATCCTAATTATCCTCATGGCTTGACACATTGATCATTTTCGCAGCCTTCCCCCGGTGACACGATAGGTCGCCGATGTTAAGCAACAGACACGTCTCGTTTGCCTTGAACTCTGTCCTTGAAGCGCAGTGGTGTTATTCTTTCAGGAAATGAGTGCCTGGCGCAAGAAACGCTCAAATTAAAGACCCGTTTCTTTGCTACCCAAACAAAATCTGCCCTCAGAATCGTCGAAGCAGCAGCAAGGCTTGAAATATTGTGTGTGCTTTTGCTTACCCAAAGAACATTTGTGTTTTGTTTGCAAATTAAGTCGATGCAGCCAGATTGCTTGATAGTGTAACTGCTGGGTAAGATTTAACTTCTCTGAGTTATGACTCCGGGATGGCGGTAGGGTGCTAGGCTGCTATTACATGCTGCGCAGGCAGACATCTGCTGTGATGCAGAGGCATCCCCCAGCAGCTCTGCAAGCCCGAGCAGCAAAAGAGGATTTGACAGAAGTTTGATTTACTGCTGGTGCTGATCAGCCTGATAGGACTTTAGACAAGACGACAACTGCTAATATATTTTACCAGAGTTGATTCTGTTCTGTCCATGCTTGCTAATGTATATTCTGAAGATCTATGGTTCTACCCGCTGAGGTTTAACTCAAGCAAAGAGACAAAGAGGCCAGTTCAGCCATGCCTCCGAGGAGTGTTTGTATAATTAAAGTAGCAGTCAGCTATTTCACAAGTCAATCCAGATATTTCTTTGTGGATGGTAAAGCGGCTGTGTTCCTTCACTGCGGGCCAGGAATCGAGACAAACTGGACACTCGTGACATTTATCAGAATGAAGGTTTGAATAAGAAGTTTCAAGACTGAACTTTTTAGCAAAAAGCACACCTGGTTTTGAATTTGGCCGCCATCCCTTTAGAAGTTGCTGTTTGCCGTCGATACCATGCCATGCTGGGAACGCTGGAAGTCCCGTTCTGTAAGCGCCATCTGCGACACACGCTGGATGTCGTCCACTGTGTCAAAACGGCAAGCCTTCAATCTGAATTTCATTCTGGGCGAGAAAAAGGAAGAAGTCCCAGGCAGCCAAATCTGGTGAGACCATTGTGTCGGTGCGATTACAAAACTGCATTTTCAACATGCTGTGAGCGGGCGTGCTTGGACGTGATGGTGGTTCAGGTGGTTTGGGCTGAATGTTCTCTCCCAGTTACAGTTAGAACGACAACTCCCCAGTGTGAATATCGAGCAAAACGACGAGCTTTCTCTCGGTTGTGTTGTGGACCTGAAGCGCCCTCGAACATTCCTGTTTCGTCTCTATGTTGTAGCCGTAGACCCAACTCTTCAATGAAGGTTGGGTCCATTTAACACAGAATCTGATTTGCTCTCTGCACAAGTTTGACGTCTGTGCTGATATCGCAAACCCCAGAATTTGACTTCCAGAGGGATCACTGTGCCAAACTAAACTTAAACTGTTTTTGCTTTTAATAGACGCAGTTTGAAACTATTTCAGCGAGGTCAGTCTTGGGTATTGCCATCGTTAGAGCAACTTACCCCGCCTTACTAATACATAACGACTTTTTGAGGAAATCGAATCGCTGTCCGACACCGCGGAGTCCTCCGTGTAAATGCAACCGAGGGTCTGTCCGTGTGCCAAACACGAGGAATTAATCGAATCCGGCTCCTTGTTATATAAAGCGACGGGGGGAAAAAACAAGCGATTCCAAAACGCATCATCAAACGGTTGCGGTGTTTACCTGCTCCCCGATCCCTGATCAGATTAACAACTGAATTATTTGTCGAGGCAGGGGAGCGGTGATCTGATTTGCATAGGTGAGGGAATGGCATGAGCCAGAGCCTGCCTCGCTGCTAATCTAGCCCTGCAAGTCATCCATCATTTCATGTTGATGCGTAGCTCTTAGCTAACTTGCTAAACTGGTGGAGGGAAAGTGAAAACTGGGCCTCGAGTCATCATTAAGACACAACTGCTGCTTTTAATTGATCAAATCTTGTTTTATTTGTGGTCTTATCGACTGTTTTTTTGAGGCCATCGTGTGTAAAAGAAACCGAACCATGACACCCAAGACCTGGAGGTATTCAGCCGTCGTCAAGTGCCCAGTTTAAGACACACTCATGTTGCCCTTAGCTCCAAAGCAAACCATGAAGAAACAGTAAACCCATTACCTGGGTGTTCATAAATGACCCTTTGAAAAGCCTTTCACAGACCATCTCTGAGATAATCCCTTCTTTCAAAAGCACTCCATCATTCAGGCTCTGATTCGTATTGGTCATCGTTAAAGGTGAGCTATTCTGTTGTTTAATCTCTGGGAGTCAGTGATGAGCGCTTGGGTCACATGGGGTTTTGGGAGGTTAGTGTGGGAGGGCTTAACCCGGCGTCACCCCTCCACATGATGGATGATTCCCCAGAGCTCGAGGAGCAGGTTACTTAAGCAGGTACTTATTGCCGTAATTGGATTCGATTTCACCTGTGGCGGCAGGAGGGGAAATGTCAGGTTCTTGGTGGTTCTGTCAGCTAAAAAAAAAGAGCAAAGGGGCGGGGGAAGATTATTCAGAACTGTCCTCAACCCACAGAGCATTATGACATTCAATTCAGTAAACAGATTGATTGATAGCGGAAGCTGCTTTGGACTTCTCGATGACTGATTGGAAATCATACACCGATAATTAGTTTTTATTGAGCGAATTAGCAAATCGGTCCGGTCTCGTCAGCCCTCTCTGGTCCTCTTAGCCCTAAAGAGACTTGCCTTTAGTGTTTCCATTATTATAAGTAAAAGCTATCTGAGTGCTGGCTGGACTGTCACCACCTGGGGCTTAATGACAGGTCGCGCTTTGTCATTTTAAAATGGCACATCACTACATTTGAAGCGTCAGCATTTCGGTGTGTTATTTTAATGGCTTTGTATGTTTTCAGAGAAGTTACCCAACCGCTAGCATTTGCACATAGGCACAGATCAGTGCAATGGCGACGATAAGTCATAGAACTGCTTCGTAGGCTGGAGGGAAATTGGACCTGTTGGTTCTAGTTGTAATTTTGAAGAGACTATAAATGAATGGTGACGCCAGGAATTTTCATTTGTTGGAGGCAGTCGCACAACAAAATGGTCTTTGCAAAGTCTTGTAGGTATTTTTTAAGTGACACATACAGTCTGCTTATTGAGTTTTAGATGTAGAACCCATCACCATAGCCTCCTGCACCCTGATGAAGGTTGTATAAGTTAGAAAAACTTGGTTTATCTGTCGATTAACGAAGGCTTTTTAGCATAGCAGTATAGTTTAGACGTGGGATTATTTTTTTAATCTCGTCTTAACCACTGGCCCAATCCTTGAAAAACACTTGATCTTGTGTTTTCTTTTTTTATGTTATTATTATTCTCCCAACACTACTTTTTTCGTCCCCCCTACCTACTTTTCCTTCAGCCTACTTTTAAAAACGTATAATTTTGGCCTGTCGCACGGTTTAACTCACAAGCTTTGAGCATTTCTTTCCACTTTGAACACAAACGCAGCTCAAGATGTCGGCATTTCCCCACAAAGAAATTGGATTTTGAGTCACTTTTTTTACTGCAAACTACAACAATTTGGGTAAGAAAAGAAAACAGTTTGGGTTAAAATACAACCAAACACTGCCACTAGAATATCTCCTCAAGAACATAGGAAGCCTTAAATTGTCATCAGTGTCTTTTAAATGTTAACGCCTTCAAGTACTTGAGTTGATGTGAGCATCCATCCCTAGAACCAAATAAGGCTGCAAACTCAACCAAACTCCGAAGTCCCTAAAGACTACCGAACTGATGAGGGAATCGGTTTGACTTCATACGAGCCCTCCTTATTGGGACAGTTCCCAGTTCCAGCAGGGAGCCCATTTAACGGGATGGATTTTCTGGAGCCTAACTTATGGAGTTTAAAATGCTCACAGCGTGAAACCCAGGTAACTTGGTTCTCCTCTGTTTTATTAGCCTCCTGGATCCTCCTCGCGGGTCCTTCATCACATAGCCCCGAGATATTTTCCCAGATAGAAAAAAAAAGACATTCTCTGCAGTGTGTTCCGCTTTATTTTATCTATTTTATTTTTTGTGTGTGTGCGTCTTTGTGTGCACCCGAGCACATGCAGGTGTGTGTTTGGGCATGTGAGCCGAATAAATAACTCCGAGCACTCGTCGCTGAGTGATCTTTGCGCTCTCAAGGTAATGATGGGGAACCTCTCCTCCAGGAGAAAGAGCATCCTTCAGAAGTCGCACAAGCAAAAAGGGGAGAATGATTTCCCCGTGGTCTTCAGTTAGCTTTTGAAAAGGGTGTTGTTAAGATAGAGGACAGGAGGGAGGGAGGGAGGAAAGAAGGCATAAAATGAAAGGAGAGTTCAAAAAAAGGTCCTCGCGGCAAACTGAAGGCTGCGTGACGTATAGGACAAAACCAAGGACTGTGCGCCGCCGCCGACGTACACCGAATAGACACATTCCTCACAAGCAGCGCGACGAGTATCTTTAGTTAAA